ACACACCCACAGACTTTGCTTTCAAATAAGAAGTGATTCCAGTATCATACTACTTGTCCCATATATCATTCAATAGATCATGCCATCTGACACCGCATAACATGATCATAATACACATACTTAATACCAGCACCGTTTAGAAACTAACCTGGTGATACTGTAGGTGATACAACTAGAAATTGATGGATTTACAGACTCTGAGATCCTCGGTAGTTTTGTGTTGTCAAAACACAGTTGTTAAGAAAAGAAAATTTGAGCTCTGGCAGACTAAAGGGTATGTATTTCAAGTTTTGGACTAAAAAGCAATAAGAGCCCAAATGGCTATCATATTCGGAATCAGTAAAGTCTATTACCTATTGGGTCAGCTATTTTTCAGACAAAAAGCGAGCGGGCACGCTGGAAGAGTGCCTCGCCAGTAGAGATGGGCGGTAACGATAAAAACGTGTTATCGTTACCGACACTTCGGTAACAATATCAGACCACGGTATTTTCAAACCAGTAAAAAATTACAGAATTTTACCGCGGTAAACTTCAGTAAAAAATTTGTTTACCGTTACCGACGGTAAATTACCGAAACTTGTGTGATTAATGTTTTTGTTCAAAAGTCAAAATGGAAGTTTGGTAAAAATTATTTTTTTACCATTACCAGCTTACGGTATAAACTTCAGAATTCTACCGCGGCAAACTTCAATAAAAAGTCTTTTTACCGTTACCGCTCATCTCCACTTTTGAATCTTTTCACGCTTACAACTGAGTTTTAGAAGCTATTCTACAAACTTGAATTTTCCACACCCTGAATTTGTCAATCGACTCAGTTTTTGTTCCTGATCCCGAATATGACCTTTTTATTGCATTAAAGTTGAGTACTGATTGAGAAAATTGAGAATTACGGGCGGAATTCCGAATTTTTTGCCTCCGATTTAGGAATAATGAATTTTCTCTGCAACGAAACAAAATTGTAAAAGAAGCTTTCAAATTTTTAAAGCTGGTGTGTTGGCCGATCTGATGGCATGTGAATTATGGATATAGCCCTCCACTCAAAAAACCAGATAGGTTTTCAAAATGAGTCATACCCAGTTGACAGCTGTTGGTTCGGACGTTCATGGCGGACGAGTGTTTAGCTCTGAAACGAACTGAAAACCTTTTCCTAAATCAGTTTTCAATGCTGATCCAGAAAAGTATAGTTTGAATCGTCCATCTTGCAATATAACCTCAAAAAGTGAATTTTATCGTAGAGGACGGTTTTTTGTATTTTTGAGGTCCTATCAATAATTTGAGTTTTTCTCCATGAAGAAATGGTTTTGGGAGGCTCGGAAGGTGATATTCGTGATCAGCTCGACGCAGTGAATCACAATATATGTAAAAACACGAAAAATAAAATCTGCTCAAATTTTGCGTTACGTGTGCACCTTACTTAGAATTATAAATGCAGCACATCCTGATCATACCAAATTGCTTATAATCAAAAGAGTGAATTTGTTGTTTATGTTTGTAATAAATACCAAGCATTTCCACACGTGTGCTCCCATGTATGAAAATACCTTCTCACAGCTTTTGTCAAATTTCCATATATAGTATAAGTAATGATAGTTTGCAGAAGTAGAACTAAATTGTAAGGTGCCGATTATGTAGTGAATTATCTGGTCTACAAGAAAAGGCTATTGAGTTTTTAGAACAACTTGGTTTGAGTCCGTAAAAGCAGTTTTAACGAGAAACACCGAGTTTTCCGACTTTCGAAATTTCAATAAAGTGAATTTTTCCAATACTAAATTTCGAGGCTAACACTTGAAAAACAGCCTGTTTTGTTCAGTTTTTTCCGCAGTTTCGATTGATATACAGCTCAAAATTATAAAGCTCCGAACGAAAGAATTTTTTCAGACGAAATTTTCGCAGGGCTCTTCGTAAAACTTTCATAAATCGATAAGAAAATGTTTCTAAGGCTTAAACATTTGGGGTTTTAGGTCATTTTCAACGGAGAGTCGAATGAGCATGCTTAGAAATAAAAGTAATTTTTCACTTAATTAACAATTATGATGATTCCAAGTGTGGTATTAGTTTTGCTGAAAAATGTAAAAACTGCAAAATATAAGTGAATTTTCTTGATTTTTGCTATCTGTTTCGAAGAAATTCTTTTTCAACAACGGAACAATATTTTCCGAAACCAATACATAACGTTTTTCGTGCTATTATGGCGAGTATAATGATATAAAACTATTTGTTTGATCTCTTATCTAAAGAGACTTCAACCATTTGTCGGAGAGGGAAGAGTGACTTTCACTATTGGTGAAAGACCAACAACTTTCAAAATCATATGATATTTAAATGACATCAAAACTATATCTTTTAGATACAGTTCTTCACGTAGAATAAGAATAAAAATGTTTCAAACTTACCAAAAGCAGTATATGAGACATTTATGCTCATTTTTCTATAAAATAAGACAAACATTCCCATATAACTTTAAGTTACTTTGGAGCCTGAAACTAGGCGGAAACCTCATTATGCCAAAGCGCTCGTACACAACATGGATAGATACGCAGCATTATTATTATTTTTAATGAATTTTAGTTGCAAACGAAATATTTTTGTATCCGTAGATAGCTATGATGATGCCGATTCTGAATATATCCCGTCGAAACTTCAGACCACATTGTGTGAATAAGAATCAAGAATAGCATCCGTCGAACTATATTTGACACTATTTGAATTCCAAAAAAGGGTAATTTCGATTTTTTCTCGAATGTCCGCCTGGATGCCTGTTGTGTGGCTCCATGTAAAGAGCGGATTTTTAATTTCGAGGTTAGCAATCACGTTACCGATCAACATTTATTCGCCTAAAAGGTACATTATTTTTTCAGATTTTACTTATGTACAAAGAAGGCACGAATTCTTTTAGAGGCGTTATTTTTTAAGTCCGCAGAGCCGTTATTTTCAAATTCGTGGATCTTTCCACTATCGAGCCAAGCCTAATCGTTCGGCGTTCAACAGCCACTGCCTAATCTAAAATATATGCAAGTGAATAGATCTCTCTACACATGTTTCACAAATTTCCGTTCGAAACTTTCTTGCTTACTAAGAAACACAGACTCTGCTCACTTACCTAAATGACATCTCTTTTCTTTCTTGCAGACGAAAAAAACACTTTTTCTCTTAAATGCAAATATTTTTCTTATTCGTAATAATGTTCCCTCACATAAATGACTCGTGTCACTTATAATAACTCTCATTTTCACATACATAACGCAGAACACACGAAGTATTCCTTCTCCGCTTGATTAAACACTACTCCGAGATGGCCGCATGTAAAGTTTCATGTGCTATTTGCATGAAAAATGCAAGTATATTCACCTGCGAGGGTTGTCAACGGAAACTCTGTCAAAAATGTTCGAATGATCATCGGCAACAGCTTAGTAAAGACTTCGACAACATTATCTACGAACATGATAAGCTGAAACAAGACATAGAAGGTGAGAACAGCAAATCTCTTCCGCTCCTAAACAAAATTGATGAGTGGAAAAAGGATGCGATCAATAAAATCATGACACTTGCTGAGCAGGCTTGCAAAGATGTCATCAGACTGTTGAATGACAATAAGCAACATACGAAAGAGCGCATTCAAGACTTGGGTGTTGAGCTAAGACAAGGTCAAGAGGCCAATAACTACATTGAGCTAGATCTAGATAAGTGGATGAAACGAATAAAGCAACTGAAAGAGGATATGGTAGCTCCAGCAAACATCATCATGGAAGAGCACACACAATCATCTTGGATTCAGAAAATCAAAATCCTGCAGAAGCTAACAGAACGATTTGACAAAGTATATGGTGATGTCACTGTGGAACATAGAGGAACAGTTGCTGTTCATGGTGGTGTGAACAAAGATGCAGAGATCCGTGGAAGAAACTTGTATTCAAGCGGTATTCACAACATACGCTTGCATATTGACAAAATGTCTGGATACCTTTCGTTTGGAATTAGTTCATCAACAACGCCAATACAAAAAGAGTTTTACGCATCAGGGCCGTCATATGGGTGGGTGGTTGGTTGGCATACAACGACATTGCGTTCACCCGTATATGTGAATGGCGTTCAGTCTCTCGGATATGGAGACTGGGATGGTGACATTCGTGAGAATGAAACAGTGGAATTGATACTCAACTGTGATGAAAACAAGATTCAGTGCTTAAATCAGCGCACAAAGGAGAAGTATGAACTGCAAGTTGATGTTACTAGTTGTCCTTATCCATGGCAGTTTCATGTTACTCTTCGGTATGCTGGTGATCGTGTTCATATCTGCATCTAAAGATGCATTATTTGGAGCATGAACTATCCGGTAACGTTTACAAACGTTTCACAAACTTATCATACAGAATATCTGGATTCCCTTAGTCTTGTTTTGTGGAAAGCAAATCTTCCTACAATCACAAGAAATTGTTTTTGCCTCGTTTTTCAAACATCTGATAGAAAAATACTTTAGAAATCCATCTTTTTCTAATTTTTGCGTTAGTGCTGACTAGACCTGTAACAGTTCCAGCTCATAAGTTCAGCTCATCTGAACGAAAGAACTGTTGAACAGTTCTTTTGTAAGGAGCTGATATGTTTGAGCAGCTCTTTTGAAATTTTAAAAATTGTAACTTTTTGAAATTTTTTCAACTACTGCTAAAGCTTTCATGCTGAAGCAAGAGCTTGCTCAACTCGAAGCACTGGGCGCTCCTGAAGTCCAGGAGTCCAGAAATCCATAGGAGTCCAGGAGTCCGCTTTTTCCCCCTTGTATGAACGTCTGGTGAACATTCGGGACGTTTAAATTTTGTCTAGACGACTAGTGAGCTCCTGGAACATGGCAGCTCCTTTCAAAGAGCTGTTCAAACATATCAGCTCCTTTCAAAAGAACTTTTCAACAGTTCCTATGATAGGAGCTGATATGGAACTGTCATACCCCTAATACAGACTAGCTATGTTGTTGTCATTTTAATTTTAAATGAGATATACAAAAGCAGTGCACGTTTAAACACTCTGATAATAAGTTCCTTAAAATATTCTATTTTACGCAGTGCCATAGCACATGAAAGGACACGTCTTTTTCAATTAAAATTTCATTCTAGGTATATAAACGTCTTGTTTTGGCTATCGCGCCCACAAGATTTCCACAAATACATTTGACTTTTTTCTGCAATTTTTTTAGATAGATGATCATTAATTGAACTACATTTCACACATTTCCTCTTTGAGATGTGTCACTAGTCGATTGCTTTGTCGATGTTCGTGCGAGATTCTTGTCTCTTACCATTTCAGCGAATAAAATTTAAATATGTCCCAGACAAATTTAAAGAGGAATTTTGTCTGTTCCATCAGATCAGTGGTAGGTCAAGATTCTTTTAATTTTTCATCTTTCTTCGTGAGAGATTCTTGTCTGAAATAGCGGGATTCATTGACGATAAAACCACCAATTTGGTTTGTCGATTTCCGTGCTATATGTATAACTCATAATAGTATACATAGGCGTCGGTTAAACTTTTTTTAAATCTCACAAGATTCTTGTCGAGAGACAGGAATCTTGCAAGAACATCGGCAAGGAAGTTGATCTGTGGTGTATTCTTTAGCTATTAACGTCTAAACAGTTGTGAATCTGTTTGTTATCAACTTTTCGGTTTCTAAGTTTTCGTTTTCATTGTAGCACATTTGCTTATTCATTTGTTGCTTGTTATTCGTGTATTTTTTTAAAAGGTAAGTAGTAACATAACATGATACTTATTAAAATACTAATTAACAAATACTCTTGTGTCAAACTACACTCATTTAACCACTAACAAAAAAACTTTATAAACAAGCAAACATTTAAAAAATGCCGCAAGTTTGTTCAACTAGGAGCG